ACTATACGTAATTACCATATTAAGTGGAACAAATAATTCGATAAATAAGGCAGATAACAAGTTGAACTTTCACCGATAATGTACTTTAATTTATGTTGTCGGTGTAAAAAATAACTCAGTGTACGAAGTATATTTTGCGATCACGTAAGATTTGAGAAAGAACCGCACTCTAAGTGGGAGTGATGTAGACAGCCTATCTCTCATTTCATGGCTCGAATCAGTATCCTACATGACACAGGGAGACAACCTTATGCTCTAAGGTTCCCCTTCTTATGCCGCCATTAGGATATATAAGTTAAATCCTTGCTCCAAATGCAGCCTTGGCGTAACAGATAAAGTTGTTGCCATGTGACCGGGAGGTCACGGGTTCGAGCCGTGGAAAAGCCTCTTGCGGCTGAAATGCAGGGTAAAGCTGCAATACAATAGACCTTTGTAGTCCGACCCTTTTCCCGGACCCTGCTATAAAGAGTATATATAAGCAAAGCTTACCCTAACTTCAAAGATGCATTTGAGCAATCATCCTCAGGAGGAGGACCACTAGTAGAGACATTGGTAGTAATAGACTGATCAGAAGACTGGCCTTCTTCCATTACCATGCAATCCAAGTCTGTGAGTAAGGGCAACTTTCCTTCATTCATCATTGCCATCTATTTAAGAAGCACATTCAAAAATTTAATTTGTAGCATTAGAAGATGATCATTCAATTTAATTAACCCTGTTAAATAATTAAATAAATTGTATACAAAAAAAAGAGAAGGTTATTCCCAGGTGATTTTACTTTCTGTTTCAGTTGCTTGTTTTCTTCCATTAGCTCAGCACCCTGCATATATGATTTGCATTATTCAGGAGTCACAAAAAAGGGAGAAATATATTAAATACACCAAAATGGGATTTAACCTATATACACACAAGATAACCTTTTTTTCCAATCATTGTATTTTAAATTGTTTTGCAGGTTATCTGTCCTATTTGTCCAGGTCATCTTTTAGATGACATAATAATGTAAAACTTCTTTTTTACTCTCTCATTATATTGATATTTTA